AAAAAAAAAAAAAAAAAAAAAACAGAGGGTATTGGGAAGCTTGCCAACATTTCTGCCAAGCTTATTCGTTTGGGACTCCAGCTTCTTGCTGAACTGGGTCAGAACTCTTCCTGCCTGTGTGGCTCCACTCCCTTTCTTTGTCACACATACCACGGTCTCCAGTCCTTTCTGAAGAGTCCTTGGCTTGCTCCTTTTTGGGGGCTATTGGCCAGATAATGTGCATTGTGATTGCTGGCGTGTGGATTTACATGTGGTAGCCCTGGTGTTCAGGGCTGATCATGTCACAGACCTCAGTGTATGTTAAGGTGTACCACGTTCCCTGGCTCCACTTGCACAGTAGTAAGCCCAGGTACATTTAAGACACATAACTTGTGCATGCAGTATTTCTGGTGAGTTATGTATCATTTTTAAGCTATAACATCTTGCCAAATTTGGTGGCTTATACCTGTAATCCCAGTACTCTAGGAGGCTGAGGCAGGATCATAAGTTTGAGCCCAGCTGAGGTAACTTAGTGAGACCCTATCTCAAAATAAAAAAGCGCTGGGTTGTAGCTCAGTGTGAAATCTGCTATTTCAATCCTCAGGACCACAACAAAACAAAACAAAAAATGTGACTGCTCGGATTAATACTACACATTAGTTTCAATCAGTGACACTTTCTCAACATGTTCTTTCCTTCTGATGTAGATGAATTGGAACCTGTTTTGTTTGACCTTTCACAGGGTCTGGAGGTGCAGGCATCTCCCTGAAAGGATGTATTCCATTTGTGGCAAGTGACGAACTCTCCGGCCTCACTTCAGCTCCCCCAGACGGAGAAGGTATACCCTGTTCTTTGTTAGGGCCCCAGGACCAGGAGGATTTAGAGCCCATGAAGAAGAAGATGAAAGAAGGTCAGAGTCTTGCAGTTCCAGGCACCCTTTGTCCTCTCATGAGCTCCTTGGGAGCCCCTTGGGCTACTGACTGCTGGTGCTCTGTGGTGCAGTGGCTTTGGTCTTGAAGGGCTGCATTTTGCAGAAGCACATAGACCCTGCCCCAGCACTCTGTCTCAGACTGACACCTGTCACACCTCATGTTTTCTGAATGAAAATGTTGGTGCTTTCTTTCTGGATTGCATAATCTAGATAGAACTATGTTCATGACCAGGCTATGCTCTGAATTGCAGGATTGATACTAGAGTCTTCTGTCATGGGATGTGACAATAATTTTTAAAAATGTGTTATGTTTAAGCCAAATGTGATGGTTTATGTCTGTAATCCCAGCACTCAGGAGTCTGAGGCAGAAAGATTGCCTCGAGTTCAAGGCCAGTCTGGACTTCATAGAGAAAAATCTGTTTCAAAAATAAATAGTATGTTTAAGCAATAGCTTGAACATTCACATGAAAGGTGATTTAGAGAAAAAAAAAATCTATAGAAGCCAAAGTTTAAAAGACTATTAAAGTATTTGGGAATGTGGTGATGCAGTGATTGTTACACAGCAGGCCCAGGAACCACTGGCCATGAGCAGTATAAAAGGCAGGATTGAGGGAGGAGGTCCTCAGGGAGGAAGCCGGAGTCTCTGAACGCTGGTGGAAAACAGCAGATCTGCCTGAGGATGTGGAGAGAATCAGCAACAGTTACATGAGAAAATATAAGAGCTATAAAATAAAGCAATTTTACCTCTAGCAAAAATGAAAATTTGTATAAGGCAAAAAACAATTTTAGTATTCTACTTGGCTCAGCAGTACTGAACATGAGCATAATGATGTCATACAATATAATTAACCAATAGTTGTGTTAAATAATATTGTGAAAGGGACCTCAGGGGTCAAAATACTTCACTATATTAATGGGTGACAAAAGGTGATATCTAACATTGATAACCAGGGATGAGGTGATAGCTTGGTGGTAAATCTCTTTTTTGCCTAGCATGTGCAAGGCTCTGGGATTGATCCTCAGTATAGGCAAAAAAATAAAATAAACTGCTAAGTCAAATGTATCAGTACAACACACATATGGAAGTAAATACCAGAAGAAATTGTGAAAAGACACCAAAGTAAATTCCTCAAAAGAGGAAAACCTAGGTGAGAAAAGACTGGGTAGAGAATGGCTGCATTTGTTTTCCGTGTGGTGTGATCTAAAAATATGTTAAGTATTTAACTTTTCTTTTTCAGTATCAGGGATCAAACTCAGGACCTTATGCTTGTAGGCAGGCAGCAGCACCACTGAGCTAAATGCCTGGCCTAAGTGTTTTAAATTTTTTAAAATGTATTACAGTAAAAGACATATTGCCAATTTTCACCCTCAAAATAACTCCTCTTCAAACACAACCATTATTCTTGCTACTTTCTAGAGCAGCTTTGGAAGACCTTTTTCCCCAAGTGTCTTTAGTTGCACTGTTCTAGTTGCCTCAGTGTCCTGAGTTGATTCCAAATACTCTTTCATGATCATTTTGACTTTGGAGAAGAGCCACAAGTTGCATGGAGCTAGATCTAATGACTAAAGAGGATGAGGACACATCGCCATGTTTTTACGAGGCTGCTTTTCTATAGGATAGCACTCTCTGCAGCATTCACTGTATTTTTTTTATCGCACCTTGTAAACACAAGAAAGAAGATTTGCAGAACTGCTTCAGAAAGTGGCCCTAGAGAGCCCGGTGTGGTGCATGCCTATAATCCCAGCACTTGGCAGGCTGAGGCAGGAGAGTTGCTACAAGTTCAAAGCCAGTCTGGACTACATAGTAACTTCAGGGCCACCCTAAACTACAAAGTGAGACCCTGCCTCAAAAAGCCAAAAAAAAAAAAAGAGGCACAAATGATAAGTATGTTCAAAGGAGAAGGGAGTACTTTGAGGAGAAATAATGGCAATGTATAATACACACTAATATTTTAAACATTCACTGTTTCAATCATACCTTATATATGACTTTTTAAATTGTGTGCAATTTCTCTTCATTACTGAGGATTGAATCCAGGACCTTTGCACTGAGCTTTTTAAATTTTTTAAAAATTTGAGTCAGGGTCTCTAGTCACTAATTGTCCATGGTGGCCTCAAACTTGCGTTCTGCTTCAGCTTCTCAGAATGCTGGGATTACATGTATGCACCACTTTACACAACTCAGTGTTTGTTTAGTTAAAAATGGGTTGAGGGCCAGGGATTTAGCTCAGTGGTGCTGCTGACTGCTTCACAAATGCAAGGTCTCAAGTTTGATCCCCAGTACTGCAAAAAAATAAATAAATAAAAATGTGTTGAGTTGGAGCCCAGCAGCAGAGTACTTGCCTCATATATGCAAGGCCCTGGGTTCAGTTCCCAGCACTGCCCACAACAAAAATAAAGTTGATCTTTGATGATATATACTTGTGTAAATAGAAAATAAAAACATACCAGGAAGCCAGGTATGTTGGCACACACCTATAATTCCAGCCCTCTAGGAGACTGAGGCAGGAGGATAATAAATTCAAGGCTGGCTTGGATAACTTAGCAGCTTAGCAAGACCTTGTCTCAAAAAGAGCTGGGGCTGTAGCTTATATGAAGCCCTGGGTTCAGTCTCTAATATCCCATAAAAACAGGAGTAAAAAAATATTTTAAAGCTTCTGGTGCCGGACGTGATGGTGCACAACTATAATAACAGCACTTGGGTGGCTGAGGAAGGAGGGTCATTACAAGTTCAAAGCCAGCCTGGGCTATATAGCAAAACTCTTGTCTCAAAACAAAGCCAAAAAAAAAAGGCTTCTGGTGTTACGTTAGAATCTTTGCTTTCTGTCATATCTCTGTATGTACAGAGGTCATGTTTGTTGTTTGTATAAACTAAAATGGCATTGGGGCTGGGGATTTTACCTCAGTGGTTCTGCCACCTGCCTTGCAAACATAAGGACCTGAGTTTGATTCCCTGGTACCGCCCCCCAAAGAAAACCTAAAATGGCATTTACATAATTTTTTTTTTTTTTGAGAACTGGCCTTTATGATCCTTCTAGCCAGGCTTGTTGGTGTACTGTTGTCATTTCAGCATCGGGGAGGCTGAAGCAGGAGAATCTCGAGTTTGAGAACATCCCAGGGTACATAGCAAGGTTAAACAAAAAAGCCTTTCTGCTTTACCCTCCCAGCCAGGTCAAGTAGCTGGTCATATGCATAAATTTAAACATAAGGACATGTGCCACAGCACTGTTTTGAAAAGCAAAATGTTTGGAAATCCCAGCATTCTGAGTACAATACAATCCCAACACTTTAATAATACTCATTAATAAGGGCCAGGGATTTAGCTCAATGGCACCATGCCTGCTTCATAAGTGCAAGGTCCGGAGTTCAATCCTTAGTACCAAAAAAAAAAGGAAAAAGAAAAAGAAATACTTATTAGTATATTATATTTTATTTTAAAAATATGTAAATGAGCTGGGCATGGCGGCACTTGCGTGTAATCCCAGCACTAGGGAGGTTGAGCCAGGAACTGCAAGTTCAAGGTCACCCTGGACTACATAGTGAGTTCAAAGCCACCTGGGCTACATAGTGAATTCAAGGCCAGCCTGAACTATATAATGAAACCCCATCTTAAAAAAAAAATGTACACATGGACACATTTATGAATGATAGATGGATATAACAAAATGTTAACACTAAGGCTGAGGGTGTGGCTCAGTGGCAGAGGCTTGTCTAGCATGTGTAAGCCCCAGGTTCCAAGCACTGCAAAAAAAAATTTTTTTAACTAAAAAAGAAAAAACATTGACACTTTGGATTAGTGATTCTTGGCTTTCTTCTTTTTCTTGATCATCACCACTAAATTCTACAAAAAGTAATAAAAGTAATAAAAGTTTGGTTTTTTTTTAAAGTATCTTTTAAATATCATGCCCTTGGCCCAAAATACAATATGTGTGTGCCACTGTGCCTGGTTTGGTAAATCACTATTCCTTTTTTTTTTTTTTTTTTTGTTGGTACCAGGGATTCAACTCAGGTCCTTGTGCTTGCTAGGGAGGTGCTGGAACCACTGAGCCAAATCCCCAGCCCATAAATCACTATTCTAAAACAGAATTTAGACATACCAGATTATAAGACTTATATGTGGCTTGCTGTTTTTTTTTTTGTTTGTTTGTTTTTTTTTTGTACCAGAGATCAAACTCAGGACCTTGTGCATGCCATGCAGGCACTACCACTGAGCTAAATCACCAGCCCTTGGGGCTTTCTTAAAATATATCCTGTGTAAATGCAAACCCATGGATGGTAAGGACTGCATGTCTTCTGCTGCTGGCAGACAGTCCACAGGTTGAAGTGTTTGTTAAACAGAAAGGCTACACATTGATGCCCTCCCTGGTTGTAGCAGTCAGAACTCATCCCATTCTCTTGCAGATGGGGAACTGGATCCAAACGTGCCATTGATGGTCACAGACCAGTGTAGAAATGCCCAGGCCACCCATGAGGACGCTAGAGTTGCCACCATGAAGCCAGACAAGATGGAGGAGACACTCACATGCATCATCTGCCAGGACCTGCTGCATGACTGTGTGAGGTACATTGCCTCCCACTCCAGACCGCCTCCTTGGGAGGCCTGAGTCTGTGTGACACTTGACCCATGGGAGGAGGATGGGTTCATGCAGTCTTTGGTCCTCACTGGCCCAGACTGTGGAGGTTGGCATTTTCATTTTACTCATGTGGCCAACAAGGAGAAACTCTGGAGCCTGGAGACCAAGGCTGTAGAACCCTCAAGTATCTTGGCAGCATTGGTTTTGGCTGACATGAGTCATGGGTAACCCAGCAAGCCTGGACACAGCCTTGCAGATAGATCAAGCAAACTATATCACATCTTAAATATTCCCTGGTTAACTAAACAATATTTGTCATAGAATGAATGTCCCAGATGTAGCTTGAGAAGACCCTTCTTTCTTTTGTGTGAGAACCTGGGCAGTGGAATCTACCCAGGTTGAATCTCCTCAATCTGAATCACTCATTTTTTTTTTTCACTTTAAATTACTGGTACTTTAATAGTCACAAGATCTGACAAATCAAAAAAATACCAGTAATAAACAAAAATGGAATGTTTATCAAAGTTACAACACACAATGTTCAGCTGAGAATCACTTTAACAGAGTAAGGTGCTAAAGATAACAGAGAAATCGATACTTGCTGGACTGTTCTGTGCGGCTTTCTTCTTGCGTGGGTTGGTTATACAGGAGGCTCTAGCTCTCTGTGGTCAGGATTATCATTGTAAAACCAGTTTTCACACAACAGAGAAACACTCATTTTCTTTGTTGCTTGTGTTCCTGAAGTCACTGCTCTCCTGAATCACTTTTTCTTTTTTCTTTGTTACTGGGGATCAAACTTAGGACCTGTGCTTTTGAGGTAGGCAGTAGAAATACTGAGCTAGATCCCTGGCCCTTTCACGATCACTTTTAAAGACAGAGGCCATGTAGGCTCTAGCTTTTTATGAACCAATACTGAGCTGAAGTATTTTAGTTTGGATAGTGCAGAGACCCATGGTTTGCCATGGCTCTGCTCCGGCTTGTCCTTATGGTGGAGGGCCTGCTGAAGATCTGGTCCCAGGGTCCCAGGCAAGTCCTAGGTGGCTGTGCTTGGAGAGTTGTCCTTCTCGTTCCTCCAGTTTGCAGCCTTGTATGCACACATTCTGTGCAGCCTGCTACTCTGGCTGGATGGAACGCTCATCCCTGTGCCCCACATGCCGCTGTCCAGTGGAGAGAATCTGTAAAAACCACATCCTCAACAACCTTGTGGAAGCGTACCTCATCCAGCACCCAGGCAAGTGGGTTGGCCACCAAATCCTTTCCCTCTTCATGGGCTGGGGTGGGAGCAAAGCTCTCAGCAGCCTAGCTTGTATATCCCTGGTCATTTTCCACTCCTAGTGAATGCTGTGTGTCCTTGGAATCTAGACAAGAGTCGCAGTGAAGAAGATGTGCGCAGTATGGATGCCAGAAATAAAATCACTCAAGACATGCTGCAGCCCAAAGTCAGGAGGTCTTTTTCTGATGAGGAAGGAAGTTCAGATGACCTGCTGGTGCTGTCAGATGTCGACAGTGAATCCTCAGACATAAGGTAAATTCTGTGCTGGCTCAGTATGGGATGTGGGAGCTAGAAGTGTGGTCTGTACTGTTATTAAGAGTTGGCTGGGGCCAGGGATTTGGCTCAGTGGTTCCAGCACCTGCCTCGCAAGGACAAGGACCCGAGTTCGATCCCTGGTACCAAAAAAAAAAAAGAGTTGGCTGTAGGGCCGGGGATGTAGCTCAGTGGTTCCACAGCCTCCTCAAAAGTGCAAGGTCCCAAGTTTAATCCCCAGTACCAAAAAAACAAAACAAAACAAAAAGAATTGTCTGTGAGTGGGCAGCTGGGGCCTTAGCCATATTCCTTAATGGTTTCTGCTTGTTTTCTGGCAGTGGATCATGGCCAAGACCTGATGTTTTCTAGAGTAGCCACGAGCACGGTGTGAGCCCCCAGGTAGCCACAGTGGGTATTGAACCCTCGTCCAACCACCATTTACTCAGACTCCACACTGTGGGCCTTGATTAACTACTGTGTCAAAGGGTCCTGATTGTGTTATTTTTCCCTATGCAGGTACATTTATTTCTTGTGGTCTATTTAGTGACCATAAAGTGCTCCACCATAAGTGTCAGTGTTAGCATTTACAAAGCAGCATCACAGAAAAGGCACAGTGCCCTGGCTAAGAGGACACAACGCTGCAAGACATTGTTTTATGTGCTGACAAGCTGATGTTTTTTAACTCTGAAATCCAGGATTTTCATTTTGGGCCAAGGGCATGATATTTAAAAGATACTTTTAAAAAAACCAAACTTTTATTATTTTTATTACTTTTTGTAGAATTTAGTGGTAATGATCAAGAAAAAGAAGAAAGCCAAGAATCACTAATCCGAAGTGTCAATGTTTTTTCTTTTTTAGTTAAAAAAAATTGTTTTTGCAGTGCTAGGGATGGAACCTGGGGCTTACACATACTAGACAAGCCTCTGCCACTGAGCCACACCCTCAACCTTAGTGTTAATATTTTGTTATATCCATCTATCATTCATAAATGTGTCCATATGTGCATTTCTTTTTTTTAAGATGGGGTTTCATTGTGTAGTTCAGGCTGGCCTTGAACTCACCATGTAGCCCAGGTGGCTTTGAACTCAATGGCTCAACCTCCTTAGTGCTGGGATTACAGGCAAGTGCCACCATGCCCAGCTCATTTGCATATTTTTAAAATAAAACATAATATACTAATAAGTATTTCTTTTTCTTTTTCCTTTTTTTTTTTCAGTGCTAAGGATTGAACTCCGGACCTTGCACTTATGAGGCAGGCACGGTGCCATTGAGCTAAATCCCTGGCCCTTATTAATAAGTATTATTAAAGTGTTGGGATTGTATTGCATTCAGAATGCTGAGATTTCCCAACATTTTGCTTTTCAAAACAGTGCTGTGGCACACGTCCTTATATTTAAATTTATGCATATGACCAGCAGTTTGAGTGAGAGAAATATATAGACATGAGACAGTTGAGTTAAAGGAGTGACTGGGTATTATACTTTGCTGGACTTTGGTATGTGAGTTATCCAGTTGCCCATCAGAAAGATAACACTGACACCATTACTAGGAACACACAAGCAGTTCTCTTTGGCTGTTTAGTGGGGGAAAAAAGGATATGGCTTTTCGTTTATCTTTTTCCTGAGAAATGGAATTGTTTGTTCCTTTCACTGTGATCTCATTTTATTTGGTCAGATCTTCTTTTCTTCCATTGTTTCTGGCCATTGGTTTGAGCTTACAAAGGCAGATTCTGATATGAGAGTCATGTATACTTTATCTATGGATTCTTTTTTTACAAACTTTTTTCCTAGTAGTTTCTGAAGTAGATATGAAGTGCAATGGTGACAAGTGACTTAGGGCAGTGAGGAACCGTGCAGATGAGCACTGTGAGCTCTTGCTGGCCTTGGCAATTGTGTGTTGTATTCTTTTTTTTTTTTTTTTTTTTCCAGG